AGGAGGAGGCGGCTGCGCCCGCCCCGCCGCCCGCCCGCCGCCGGGGAGCCGCGGCCGAGGCGCATGGAGACGGCGGCCGCCGCCGCGGGCTGGGGTAAGGCGGGGGGCGGCGGGGCCGTGCCGGGAGTCTCCCCGCGGCTGGGGGCGGCGGGGCCCGGGGCGGGGGCGGCCGCGGGAACTTGGAGCTGCGGGAAACCCCGAAAGAAGCGCCCGCAGAGGCGCACCGGAGGGAGAAGGCGCTGCAGGTGCTGCTGCCCGCGGGCACCTCCGGGTAACGGCGGGGACGGAGCGGCGGTGATTTAGGGCGCGTCGTACCCGCGTGCATTTTGTTGAGCCCGAGCGTAAATCTTCGAAGCGCGAGTTATAAATACGAACGCTTACATGCGTAGGGGCAGAGCGTGCATTAGGCTGTACAGTAAATTCATTCCGAGCCGCTGTGCCACACGCACGTGCGGGGCGCATTCAAGGTGCGCTCAAACAAAGCGGGAAGCGGCGGCTCCGTCTGACAGCGGCACTGCCCGCGTCGGTGGCTGGGAATGACTTACAACAACAATTACCATATTTACATAACACAGTGCTGTTCATACACGGGGCTTTGAACCTAACAGGCGTTCATGCCCTACATCGCATCATTTCCCGAACCGGGGGGAATCCTGGAAGTAGGAAGCAACGCTTTGTTTATTTCTTCTGCCCCCATTGACGCGCGATCTGAGCGCACATCCACATCCGAGATGTGTGATGCTGCCCTGCAGAGCGCTGCCCGCAGACACGCGGTGTGTCTCCTCCGACAGCTGCTGCCAAAGCAAAACCCAGCGGCTATTAAGGACTTTTTCTTTCTCTCCACAGTTCTTTTCTTCCATCTCCCCCTGATCTCTGGGAGCTCCATCCGCATTGGGATAGGCAGCAACTCCAGCCTCTGTAAGTAGTTTCTCTTTACGTCTTAATGCACTAACGCATGCCTTACACCTGTGTACAGCTGTAGGAATAGTGTAGCTGAATTCCTCTGGCAGATAAACATCAATCTGCGCACAAGCAAATCTCTTCCTGACCAAGGAAACAACGGAGTTAACAGAAGCTGGGGTCTTCGCACAGACAGAACACAGAGATGGGTGAAAGAACTGCCTGAAACAGAGCCACACAACGTGGCCTCAGGCACAGCTACTTCAATAATTTTTTTTAACGCTCAGCATTTTCTCCCACAACAAATTAACACAGAGCTGCTGCAACTGATGTACAAATTGAGCACATCAGTCAAAACTGATATCGTTTTGACACTTGCTAATGTAACGTGGCTAAAAAATCACTTCCAATCACTGAAATAAAACGCAGAAATTTGCCTTCCTCCCACTCTTCTCTTTGTGACCAACTTTGGTATTTATTCCGTGGAAGGTTTCTGAAATAGAACATAGTGCCCGTGGCACTGTCTGTCCTTCAGCAGAAAGCTGCTTGTGTGAAAGGAACCACACAAACACATCCAAGCCCTTTGATAAAAGAATGAAAAATGAAAAAGTACTGATGGTTGTAAGTATTAATTGTTATTAACCGACAGCCACCATTTGCAGTACGTCAGTGAAGGACCCTGTGCTGCAGGGCTGCAGGCAGCAGAGCAGGGACAAACTGGGCTCCTCTGTCCTGTGCATGCTGCTCCCCCTCCCCAGGAGGTCCCAGAGTTCCTTACAGGGGAAAGAAAAGTACTTTAAGGGCAGGTAAAAGAAAGCAAACCATATGGTTTTCAGTCAGATTTTCAGCGATTCAACACATACATATTATCTGTTTGAAGACCATGGTTCCTTTATGGCTAGAAAGTGACTACATAATTATGTATTTAAATATTTGTGGTCTTTCTGATAACTGTATTGGATGATAATGTCTCTGTTACATCTCAGAGCAAAAGGAATGCCCAGAGGTTTGTAAAATGTTCGTTTGGATGCCTGAATCGAGACAAACAGAAGTACAAAGTACTTCTTACACAGCAGTGTTTGACATTCAGCCTTAAGACTCCCATCTTCAAACCTGTGCTCCTCCTGAGCAGCAGCATCTCACCAAGCCAAGAAGGAACAAACGAGCTCATGCGTTCTGTACACAAGCACCCACAGCCAGGCTCAGTGATGTGCCTTAAGAACGCAGCTTTGTGGTGAGCCACAGGTCCCAGGGAGGCACTGGATCCCACTGCATGATGCCTTGAGAACGTTGGAGATGAAAGCACCAACCTCTGCCCTCCCTCCCAGCCTGTCCTCCAGCAGCACTACCAGGATTCTGTGATGCAGGCTAACACACGCTGCAGCTGCCCCCCTTCCCCAAACACCCAACAAAGCTCAATCCCTACAATGATCTACTCTTAATTTCCTTTCATTGATTTTTCCTCAAGGTACAGATGTCTTCTGAAGGCAGCACAGAGGACCCTTATCCCCTCACTTAAATGTGCAGCTCATATCTCCTCACAGTTTTCCACTTTAGGCTTTAATGACTTCAAATGTGGAGAAGGAAAAGGTGTTCAAATGCCTCCAAAACTAAACTTTGGAATTCTTCATTCTTCTCCCCTAGTAAGACACATCCTGCTCAGTATCTGTCTTCCATCAGTTTATTTTATGATGCCTTGGTATCATCTCAGTTACTCACATCAAGAATGGTTTTAATTTATTAGATTCCACGCTAGGAAGGTATCTGTTTCTTACCAAGCCTGACAGTTCCCCAGCCTTGTTTATGAGGATGCAGGCTGACAATGCCAAATCATCCATTCCCCTGTAACTGCTGACCAAATACCCTGGTTTCAGCAGCTTCTTCCCATCCTACATCCTATGCTTGATTTAATTTTTTCATGGAGAGAACAACAGACTAGAATTCATTCCTGTGCAGCTACAGTGCAGAGGTACACAGATTAGAGTTCAACCTTGCTCCCTACTGAATAAATGGTAGTAAAGCTTTAGTTTTTGAAAGAGACCCAATGAAATCACTAGGTGTAAGACTGAGAAGCATCCCAGACAAGAGCAGGGGGAGATGTTCTGGAGGTGCTGAGCACTATTAGCTCAGGCAGGCCATCATTTCGTTACTGTGTAATGACTGGACTTGAGGTAGATGCTCAATGCAGTAGATGCCTAGACAACTCTTGTATGACACTGAAAGACAGACAGATGATGAGCTTTTGTGGTCTCCTTAAAAGTAACTGTCTTCACACACTTTGGAACTTTGGCTTCAAACGGAGAGCTGGCACAAGCAAACAATTCCATTTATGCAAATAGTCAATTGAGCTCCAGAACTTATTACATATTTTGCTACAACTTCCTGCACCCCCCTAGACTTTTTGCTTTAATTGATGATATTATGACATTAAGAAACCTACAGTCTCCAAGAGCCTGTGTGAAAATATTTCTCTGGAAGACACTCCAGCCAAAGCCACTTGGTCACCATCTATTCTTGCTTGTACCACACATTCTTTCCTGGGCCTCTGTAAGTTTCTTATCTTTAATAGCTGTTGTTCAGTTGCAAGTATGTTAATCCCTCTACTCCTGTCATTACAACAAGAATCTCTTTCAGCATTGTTTTACTGCATTAAAAGGGATATATAAATAAATAGTTCAATACATACCATTTCATCCATTTTTGCTTTTGAATCTCTCTTGGCAATTAATCTTTTGTAGTTTGAGGCTTTAACATGAAAAGCATGGTTTTTCATAGAAACAGCTCTCCAAGCATATGGTCTATAAAGGTTTTCAGCATGCTCACTTTATGCTGATTTACCAGCAAACAAGTGATAGGATTACTTCTATCAGTGCAATAGACATGTAGAAGACCCAACTGAAACTAAAGTTTTATCATGCCATGTCCTGAACAGAGCAATTGGCCTTGTCTGTACAGATTGCAGGTGCCTAGATAAGACAAAAGGTTGGAAGAGAAAAACAGTGACAGAGACATTAATTGCTTTGGATTTCATAGCAATCCAAGGAGAAGGGCAGGCTCTCCAAGCTCCCTGACTCTATCTGCCCATTACTTGGCATACACACACTGCAAAGACAGAAACAAAGAGCAGCTATTTGGGATGACTGACTTTTAAGTATAATTTGAAAGGTATGTTGAACTACACCAATAATCAAGGTCCTCATACTAAAAAAGCTTGTAAAGTCAGACGTTCTTTTAGAAAGAATACAGGTCATTCAATAGCAGATTGACAAAACAATTACAGTGTATTCATAACCATTGTGTGCTGGGGTACATGCTGTACAGTACCCTCCCTCAGCCCCAATCAGAAACCATCACAACATATAAGAAGAGCACAAAACAGATACATTGAGAACAAAAATTGCTGTTTTTTTTTCCATATTGCACTGCTCCTTATGGTACACGTGATGATTTTTGATTTTTTTTTTTCAGTTTTGCCAGTCAATTTGAAGGAAAATACACAATTAAAAAGTGCATACAAGGGCACTTTCTAAAAGGATTGTACCTAAACCCAAATTTTATTATGATAATTTTCACATTCTTAAATTACAAATGTTAACTTCATAAATTCATTCAAATGTGCACTGATTTGTAATACAGCCCCTGAAAACTGCCATCACACCTGGATTGGAACAGATCAGCTTAGAATTGGGATGTGTTTCTCTGGAAGAGACTTTGTTAGCTCCCTGTCATCTGTAGGAAAAACTGTTTTCAAATCTATCTCAAGGCAAAATGTACTTTAAAGACAAAATACTGTGCTCTAGCTTCTACCAAGACAGTTTCATTTGTGAGAAAAGGCATTACTTTCCAAGATGATGTTTCTGTCTGTACTCTGCAAAAGAAACTTGATTATCTAGAATTTGAACATTACTATTTGTTCAGTCAGTGCTAAGGGTGAATTTTTGCCTTCCTCTGTCCACGACTGCTCCATGAGGCCTGGACTTCCACTTATTCCTAAAAAAAGTATTTGCATATTTTTTGCCCACAAGTTTGGGTGGGGATTTTGCAGCTTCCCTTGGCAATAGTTGGAATATTTGCATCACCTGGGTTCACAAAAGACATAATTTACTCTTGCTATACCTGTAGCTTTTGGGAACGGGCTTGCACACACACACACACACTCCTTTACTGTTACTGTCCCACACTACTTTTTAGCTCAAAGAATTGCATCTGCCATAAAGTTTCTTATAATTTACAATGCTGGTAGTTCTCCCTGAAGATAATAAAATGTTGCGGCGGTTTCCTCGCATTTTCATGAGGTGTGCACCCCAAAGTGGCCTACAAAATTCAAGAACTGCTTTCTGGATGAGACCAGAGAGTTGTCTGTTTGTAAGTCAAATTAAGTACCAGTGAAGTGGTTAGAAGTAAAACAGGCATTTGATGCCACGTGAAGTGAACGGCAGAAAAATTTCTGACATCAAAAAGGGATGAAATTGTAGGCATTGGTGTAGGAGAATTTTGTCCAGCTAACACAAAGACTGAGCAAGAAAGATACAAAAGAGTATAGACTGGAGCAAGTTCTAAGAGGATTACAGTCATTAGGGCAACTTCAAACTAGCTGATGAACTAAATGGACTCTATGGAAAATATGACTGTGTTCATGAGATGCATTCTGGGACCAACTGCTTTACCAAATTTGTTAATATTTTTTCATTGGAATCATTTTCTTGTAGATGAATGCCTTCTTAATATTTGCAATGACAACATAAACAGTCTAAAGTTAACAAAGTTGTTCCATTTCTACAATGTTTGGTACCACAAAATAATGACTGCATAGCTGCTGCTTCTTTACTATTTTAACTCTTGAGAAACACAGACAGGAATCTCCACAGCCTTCACTGTAGGGAACTGTATTCCCTGTCACCCAAAGATTGCTTGAGATGGCCACCCCCAGTACAGCAGCCGTGTGGGAAACGTACTGCAGGGTTCTCCAAAAGCACAGAACACTACGATCTGATTGCTGGCCTCTAGATTGCAGAGCTGCCAGGTACAAGCATACAATCAAAGATTTACTGTAACACTATGTTGTCAGTGCTGGCAATATTTATAAATGCACTTGGGGTACTGACATTTTCCACTGGAGCAGCTGTGTGGAGAATTGGAAATCATGACCAATTATGCCTAGCTGCAGGATTTTGCAGCTATGAAGGCTATCAAAAAAAGCTCTGAATTAAAAACACTGGAGAGCTAACAAAAACCTGATTTAGAGGAACTGACAGTTCTGTCGGGTACCAGTTAGCAACTCTGGCCCTGTGTGTTTGCTCTCAGGAGCTGGTGCTGTTCACGTTGGGTTTGAACGTTTACTTGCCAGTATTGGGAATGTTTTAGATTGCTAATTCAAAGTAACCTGAATAAAGCTGTAATACTTAGGCCAATTTAAAGCTGATTTAAAGGTGAGGAGTTTTTCTGCCCAGAGCATCTCCATAGCCAAACTTCCAATACTTTTTATTCTGTCTTTAATGAAGTTTTCTTTCTGCTCTACTTCTGTTCCTTGTTATTTGAAGGCCCAACAAAACTGTACAACGAAATGATGTCAGCACTTTCACTTACACACACAGATGCGCTTGAAAACAGCTTCCTTTTATCCACCATCAAAAAAGTCCAAGTTCAATTGCACCACTATTAAAATGCCCCCTCCGCCCCCAAAAAAAAGAAAAAGAAAAAGAAAAAAAAAAAAAAAGAAAACCTTCTTTGAAAAATTTACTTTCTTTCCTCTCTTGTCCTGGACAACTATCAAACTGGTAAGGGGTTGTGAAAAAATTATATCTACAGCTAGAAAGCCATAATTCAGAATTATGCAAGATAGCAAGGTTTTTTTTGTTTTTAATCTGTGTGTAGTAAGCTGGGGCAAAGATGGATTGTTTTGTTTTGGATGTTAGGGCACATAAGTAATGCAGGAGGCTCTGGAACACAGTGCCCTCATAATTTCTTTGTTGTATTTCACCCAGAGTTCAGCTGTCTCCAGCACTACTTAAATGATCTGCAACAACAACATAGGAGATATTTGTTTTGGTCTCAGACCCTTCTCACAGTGAAGAGAGCATTTCCATCCCCCCACAGGACTTGAAAAAGCAGGTGCACTGACTTTCAGTAGCTACAAAGCTGTGTTACTCAGGAAGGAGCTGTAACACAAAGTCACCAGTCGTTTCTCCCCTTTGCAGATGAGCAGAGCATTCTGCCATGTAAGAAGGAAGAACTGCAGTGTGGCACCGGGCTCTGCCTCTCCAACTGGCTGCGCTGCCACTACAGGAAGGACTGCGGCCGGGACTACATGTCCATCCAGCTGACGTGCTCCAGTGAGTCACCCTGCCCTCCAAAGCAGGGCACGCTCCTGCGAATGTGAATCCTTTTTTTCACTGAATCTGTACACTGCTGTACACAGGAGATTTGGTTTAGTTTTGCTGTTGCAAGGATATGGATATTTATAGGTTTATTTACTGACGTCTGAATCATTTATGCTACATGCTGATTGCAAGTGGAATAGTAAACAAATATCAGCGGTAGTGGGAATGGAATATTTGGTCCAGATCAAAATGCATTAAGCTAATGCATTGTGAAGGATGCTGCTCTGAAATGCCAGTTGGGAAAATAAAATTAAAAAGCCTAAAAAAGGGCGGGCGTCATTGCCAGAACCAATTAGGCACTGGCAGCTCTGCAGAGCAGGTTGGCTGGGCACCCTGTGCTCCAAAATGGCAGTGTGAGTAAATCCACTGCAGCAGATCAGAGCAACACCCGGGGAGCAGAGGAGAGGGAAGCAGTACATCAGGTCAGCAATGCCCAGTGCAGTTAGCCAGCCGTAGGATGACTGCTTGCAAATGCTGCAGAGAGCTTCAGCCATTTGTTTTGGAGCACAGATTTGTCACAGAAGTTGAAAGATGACTTGGAGGATTTCTGATGAACAGAAGTGCAGTAATCTCAGCAGTAGCCATTTACAAGCAAACTTCTAAGCCTTTTCTGTTCCTACTTTTTTCTTGTTATGTCCACATGGTAATTTCAAGCTAGAACTTTAACTGACATATTCTTTTTAACATATCCATTTTGTATCTAGCAACATCTAGGAGCACAAATACTTCTAGATCACTGTTTTACATGTTACAAGTGGGACTGATCACATACTGCTGTCACTAATTACCTGCCAGAAATATGTGTTGAATTTGGTTTTTAAGTTAACACTGTACACATTAGAACATAGCCACAACTCTGCAGAAATACCAGAAGTTAAAAGAGAGAAAGCAGACAGCCAGCTCTGGGCACAGGAAAGTGAACAGAAACCTGAATTCCAGGGGTGAGCTTTGCACATGGCATCCTCCAGTGGTATTTGGAGTGGGGGGCCACGACAGAGCTGAAGTGAAGGCAAAGTGCAGGCAGGAGGTCCTCAGCTCTGGCTGCTCAGTCTGTGCATCTGTGCTTGCCACACGAGCTGGCTTTGCAGTGTAGATCAAACATTAATACAACACAGGCACTCTGTAGAATTGATCACAGTCATTAAACAGAGCTCCAGGTCCATGGAGCATGGAGAGATTATGAGCTTATGACTGAGCATACAGAAGGACTGCGGTTAGCGTGTGCAGGAAGACACAAGGCCTGAATGTAGGCAAGACCTCAGCTTCTCATGCTGTAGTTGTTAACACTATCAGCAGAAATTAGAGCTAGTCATGGGATTTTCTGCAGCAGTGTGTTGGGGAATGGTGGTGGAAAATCTGTGGGAACACAACAGTTCTGATGGTCTTGTATCTTGCCTGGATCATGTGAAAACCTTTCAGCAGCTTTTATCTGACAGAAGTATGCATTATTTTCTGCCCTTCCATAGGAATGGTGCATGGAGTAAGAAATAAGTGGCAACCAGCACTTTCTAATACATGCAAAAACATATTTTTCTAAATGCAAAGCTGTCAGTTCAGCACTAATAAGCTATGACAGAGAGAGTTGATAAAACAGAGTCAAACAGTCACAGGCTTGCTCTGAACACAGTACAGATTTAAGACCTCAAAACCACAAAACCAACAGATGATTTGCAATAGTTACAGAAGTGCTCAAAAATCACAAACTGCCTAGAGGAGAAATTCATTATTTCTCAATGTAAAGGTTGATTTTCAGTTCACAGCTGAACTTGAGAGCAGTGTCATCCAGCAAGGCACTAACATCTGTCACTTCATCTGTACCTTACAGATAAAGGAATGTTTCAGACAAGGCAGGTGCCAAAGCACCTATATTGTGTGCTGATCCTGCTGAACGATAGCAGGGCCTGTCAGAAGATCAGCACCAACTGTATGGAAAGATACACGGTTAGACCTGGGGCGGCTGCTTCAGCCCCCTGCTGCCCAACAGAGCACTGCTGCCTGGTGCTGAGGGGCAGGGCAGTGGGAGCAGGGCAAAGGGAGGGTTGATGGATTGCCCCACACTGTGAACTCTGGCAAAGAGAAGGTACATTTACTCGAGGAGATCCAGGGGCTTATCAGAATCTAAAGAGAGTGTGAGATCTGTTTTTTAAACATCGGCAGTGCATCAATCACTGATGCAAACTAATGACAAAGAAAAGGGAAATGATTCCTGTTAACTGTGCCATTAACACCTCTTAATATCCTGAATTCACTTACAAAGGCATTCAGTTGGAATAAAATAGCATTTATAAAATCAGATACAGAAGTGTCTGTAACAGGGACTTCCTGTGTCAGTGACATCACCACATGAATAAGAGAAAAGCTATGCAGGTGAACAGAACCTCAGAAATGGGAGCTCCGGTGGTTTTTCCCACCTTAAGGTAGATTTCTACCCTCCATAATTCCTCACCTCACAGAGACAAAGTAGTTCTTTTCACAGCATACTCTGGGAGCTTAATTTTAGTATTTACAAGTCCAAACACTAACACAGAAGTATTTTATTTATGCAGTTACCATGAAATTCAGTCTAATGGGAAAGAGCATGAATTATTTCAAGTGCATTTGAAGTACAAATATATTCGGCTATCCTTTCTGTATCAGCGAGCCAGAATCAACTGGATTCTTGCATCTTTGTTCTCTTTCTCCCCTTCCTCTTTCTTATGCTTCCTTTTCTGAAACTGATTGACAGTGATTTTTTGCCATTGAATCCCCCTGAATCAGAGGTAGAGCCACAGCTGTCATAACGAAAGCATTGTACTGCAGGAACTAAAGTGAAGCAGCCCTGAGAAGCAATGCATAGATTTGTTCCAGTTGAGAAAACAAGCTAATGTTTCCCTTGCCGTAAGAGGAAATCAAATGTATAATCTTTGCTCAAAGGCTAACTATATATTTCTTCAGAAAATACACTCACCAAAATAGTGCTGACCTGTGGCACTGAAGATGTACTTGCCTCACCTACTCTTCTTCCAGTCCTCAGCCAGCTACTTAGAATAGAAGCTCACACACATACCAAGTTTTTAGCTGCCTTTTTGTGTCTCACATTACCTATGTGTATTTTTTAAGGTTGAATTATCTACCTAGAGGATTTCATGAACTCATGAGAAAGCACTATTAAAGGCTAAAATTCTGCTTCAGATTTAAACAAACATTTTCACTGGACCAAAGGGAACTGCCCCACTGAAGCAAAAGACAATCATGACCTGTGCTGTAGTTGATACTTCTTTATTACTTTGCAAAACTTACAGTAACTGTCCCCCATGACGATCTTACTTAGGGTTAATATTAACAGGAGCCAGATCTAAGTTTGTTTTAAAAGCTTCATCTACCCAGGTAATTCCACAGATTGTCTTTTCATTCAGCAACACAATTAATCTAAATTGCTTTAATTGAAGCTTTATATAATATTACATAGGTAATCCTGCCTATAGAAAACCCTGCTTGGAGTCAGCTAAGGCAGTTAATTGTTAACTGCTGAGATTACTGAAGAAAGTATGCTTTAATACTAGGCTAGTCTTTGAGTTTGGACAGCTCGTGTTGAAAAAGCAGACTTCAGGAGAGGCATGGTACTCTTTAAACAACTCTTACATGCAGCTCTTCAAATAGCAGTGACAACAGTCACTGAAAACATTAAATTATAACATAATGAAAATATCCTTTTGTTTTTATTCATTCCAAGTTAATTCCATTAGATGTCCTTGTAAACTCATTCTATCTGAAGAAATGTGTTGTTTCACTGTCTCCTTACAAATCTGCATCCAGGTAGAGATAATAATACTGAATTATTTGATAGGATATAAAGACTTGCTGGTTCAGTTTCACAGTGAAAAATTATCAGTAATATTGTTATGTTTTGAAATATATTGAAATATTTTCCTGGTGGCATTGGTACTGGAAGAGAAGCTGAGGTTTAACAGGAGAGTTTCTGTCAAGGTCATACGCCAAAGGCTGCTCTGTGAACCTGCAAACAGGCGAGGAACTGATCTAGTTACAGAGGTGTCTCAATGCACCTTTTCTTTTGAAAAGACTATATGAATTTCAAAATAGACTGCTTTAAAACTTGTAGGTAAATTCTATTATAATTTGTCCATAATACAAGCTTTCAAAAAGACAAGAAAAAGAGCCCATCAGCTAGACAAACACCATTCCCATAGCACAAATGCATAAAGCAGTGACACAGTTTTTGGATGCACGTTTCAGCAGTCTCTGAGTTGGAGAGTTTAGTATGAACAAAATCAAGGTATTTAAAGTGCATAAAGTATGCACACAAACACTATCCTGAAAGGAGACCCAACTCCTTTGTCCGCAAGCTCTTTCTCAAGAAATAGCAGGACCCAGCTTTTTGGCACAGCAGCTTTACAAAACATTACTTAAGTGTGAAACACATCAGTGGAAGTCAAAATAAGATGAATAGAGAGCAAGTAGAAAAAGTCTGGGCCAGGGGACATAAAACCTCCTAAAAATCTTCAACTCAGATATGCCTTAAGTCATGACATATAATTTGATTAGTTTCATATGAATGCCTAACATAAGACATTTGTTCAGATCATTACATTGCAATATGTTTTATATCTGCCAGGCTTTCTTTCAGAGAGCACAGTGGCAAATACATAAGCAGGGCAGAAATAAAAATATGGAAAGGTAAACAAGATGTTCTTTTTATCTGTCTTAGTCAGCATTGTTAGATTATCATAAACAACAGTAATTCCCAGCACTGATAAATGCTGTTTATTAAGGAACTAAATGCTGCTGACGTCCTTTCTGCAAGGAGAGAAGCAGAAGTTGTGCTGCAGTTTGCTGCTGGGAGGGCCAAAGAAATGTATGTGCTGATGGCGTGAGAAAGGAAGACTGAGGAGTTCAGGGTCTAACTTAGGTCATGTTCTGTCTTAAGGTGGGAAGTTCTTCACCAGCTGGGAAGT